AAATTGACAAAACAAGCTTAATTTAAAAAAAAAAAAAAAAAAAAAAAACGACTATCAAATGGGGGTCTAAACAATAACCGAGGACTTAACTACCAAGAGGAAAAGATATGAAACCAGAGGTAGGCCATGCACTTGAATAAGTTCAGCATTCATTTTAGCATTGACTCATAAAAAGTAGTCAAAATGGTCGATGTTAAAATGAACTAAAACAGTAATATTAATTGTCACTAGTTACCGATAATAGTCAGTTTTCAGGAAAACATAGTAAAAAGAAAAACCTTGAGCCGCTAATCAGAGTTCATTTTCAAGATGACCTCTTGTTTTTCCTCAGGTGTTGACACATTAATTGTTGTATTGTTCTATTATTTAGAAGAGTTTCATAAAATGGAAATCTTTATGCACGCGAAATAAATCTAGATGCGCATACCTCACATGGCTGCATGCCTAGAAGATCTATGACAGCACGCACAGCTTCAGCCAAGCTTCCCCTCGGGCCTAACCCATATTCATCTACTCGTTCACCATCTTCGCCCATGCTTTCCCATGCATTCCTGAAGTTCGGCACAGCTGCTTTCAACATGTAATCTGCTGCGACCACCTCAATGTCCTCGAGCTGGTACTCATCTTCAACGCCATCTTCCTCTGCCTCGCCAGTAGATGGATCAATCTTTTCTCAAAAAGGATTAAAAAAAAGTAGATGGATTAATATGGAAAGACCAAATAGTGAAAAAGGTAAAAGAATAAAAAGAGTAGATGGATTAGGATAAAATAATAATGAAACTATTTGAATGCTTAATTGTTTTCCTTTTCCTTGATCAGAAACAAAAAATTCATCAATTAACAAAATATACGAAGGTTCCCTTGGATCACAATTTTTTCCCCAAATGGAGGCTATCGTGGAGTAACAAAATCTCTGGAGAAAGAGCTCCAAAGGAAATCAAACCAAACCAATAAATCCCACAGAAATTCATCATTTCCAGTTTCATTCTAGAATATATTCCATTTCTCTCACCCAAAATAAGCCAAAAGAATAGCTTTTACAACATTGCCCCATACAATAAAAGCTTATTTAAATGCTTTATAATTTCTTTACATATTTATATTTGTGAGTGTCAAATCCCAACTACAATTAGTTGCAAAAAAAAAAAAAAAAAAAAAAAAAAAAAAAAAAAAAAAAAACAAAACAAAACAAAAAAACTAGGAAAATATTAAATCTTAGGTAGATTGGCTGTCATGGCTTGAACTCATTTCCTCTAAACCCTTTTTATTATTTACATTGGTCTTCCACTAGACTTACCCATGATGGTTTATTTGAATGCTTAGTTATTAATGAGAAAATACATCTAAAATGATAACAATAAAATGAAGTTCTCTTCATACAAGTGCATTATGGATGAAAAGAAGTTTTAATGGATGAGTTAAACATTTAGGCGCGCACACACATATCTATGTTATATTATGAAGAACCGAACTTTCATTGAAAATTAAAAAAGAAAAAAAAAAAAAAAAAGAAGAAGAAGAAAGAATACAAGGCTATCAAAAAAAAAAAAAAGCACAAATGAAGTGCTGCCAAAGAAAGAGACTTGTGAAACCTCACAAACAATTTTTTAAAAAAGGACTCCATTTAGGCATATAATTAATGAAACCAGAAGAACGTGTAAATTTTATCTCCAAAAATAAAAATGTCCACTCTAACAGTATACGTTCATTCTTATTGTGAAATGCCATACTCGAACTCACAAATCACGTTGATAACAAATAACTAACATAGACTTGACAAGAAAATGATTGAAAATAGACTAGAGACCAAATTCTATCTTAATAAATTGAAATACTGCTGCACAATT